CTTCCTCCTCCTCCTCCTCCTCCTCGGTCTCTTTCCCCACCCACTACCCGGCCGGGAAAAGAACAGGACGCCGGGAAAGCGCGGGCTGCGGAGACAGCCGGGCTGCTTTTCAGTGGCGCCTTGCAGCTACTCTCCGCCGAGGGGAAAAAAAGCCCTAAAAAGGCAAGGCTGCGACGCACCGGGCGGTGCAGTTTAGGGAGCGCCGCCGCCGCTGCCCTTGCTCTCCTGCTCTCTTGTTCCCGCCTCGCCTAGCAAGCTGGCCTCACAGCCGCGCGGCCAGGAGCCCCCCCCTCCCACGCACGGGTTGACAACCCCACCGCGGCGGGGAAAAGCCCGCCTTGCTCCGTTCGCCGCCGCCAAACGTTGGTGTCGGACATTCTCTGTGGAAGGGGAAAGTCGCTTGGGAGGACGTGGGGGGGCGCCTTTCCTTGCTTGCCGGAAAGCTGGTTGCCCCGGCGATGGCAGAGCTATGGCTGCGGCGTTGTGGGGGCACCAGCAGCCTGCATTAGACCGCCTCACGGTTCGTGAGGCGTAAGCCATGCTCCCGTGTTTTCTGAAAGGGTGGAAGTGATGTTGCTCCACTCAGTAAACTTTGCAAGATAGGCCAGTGATCCCTGTGTTGAATGCAGGAGAAACTGAGGACCACATCATTATTATAGCCTTCAGGTGTGAATAGGGTCCTCTCAGATGTCTGAGATACCGCCTCAAACAGTTCTGTGAGGTATAAAGGTAAAGGTTCCCCTTGACATTTAGTCCAGTCGTGTCCGACTCTAGGGGGCGGTGCTCATCCCCGTTTCCAAGCCGTAGAGCCAGCATTTGTCTGAAGATAGTTTCCATGGTCACGTGGCCAGCGCGACTAAATACGGAACACTTCCCACCAAGGTGGTACCTGTTTATCTACTTGCATTTCCATGCTTTTGAACTGCTAAGTTGGCAGGAGCTGGGACAAGCCACGGGCGCTCACTCTGTCAAGTGGACTTGATCTTACGATTGCTGGTCTTCTGACCCTGCAGCACAGAGGCTTCTGCAGTTTAACCCGCAGCGCCACCATGTCCCTGATGTGGGCTAGTCTAATGTATTGCCAATATGAGCCCTATTATATGCATCATAATATTATGGATATTATAATATCAGTATGCATCCACTGCAGCTATGCCGGGCCCCCTCCCTGCTAATGTTTAGAAGGCAGCTCAGAACACTGCTTTTTAGGGAGGCCTTTCACCATGACACTGCTTCATGTCACACCTAGCAACCTCTGAATATGTAACAGCAATATTATGTAATCCAGATGTGAATTAGAACAGAGGCTGAGGATAAAGGCTTGCAAAAGACCATCCACTGAATTAATGGGCAATGCAAGAACCAAATTGGCTGGGTTTATTGTCCGCAACACTGTCCTCCTGGGTCAGAAGGACCTGTCCTATAGTCAGTCCCATAGGAATCCTTCACATTTCTGTAAATCACTGCTTGGATGCAAGTCTGCCTGACTCCAAGCCTTATGGAACAGCAGCGTCTAGTGTAAGAATCAAAAGCAAACTAGCCTAGGCCAGTGGTACTTAACCTTCGGTTACTCAGGTGTTTTTGAACTGCAACTCCCAGAAACCCCAGCCAGCATACCTGGTGGTGAAGGCTTCTGCGAGTTGCAGTCCAAAAACACCTGAGTAACCCAAGGTTAAGAACCATTGGCCTAGGCAGTTCAGAACAGATGTGGCTGACTTTTCAAATATAGACACAGTTACCATACTGCTGTGAGCAATATTATAGTAATATGTTTTAAAAAGTTACTTTTTCCAACCACACATCAATGAATCCATCAGCCAGTGCAGATACTGGGTATGCAGGCTTAGGGAATTCTGGGTGGTTCAAGAAACTAACTTTTTCCAGCTCTTCTCTTACTACAGTAAAATTCAGCTGAAACACTGCATATCCCTAAGGGGTATCCCCTAATGTTTGCTGACAATCCCTATCTGAGCCAATTGCTTGTTTATTGAGCTGGCTACATGAGAAGACTACTATATTCTCAGTAGATACTCCACAGTATGGCTGTCCTGTCTAATAACAGTGAATGTGCCCTAATAGCCAGAGAATATTTTTCAATTAATTTGAGAAGATGTAAATCTTCCATTTACAAGCATAAAAACAGGCACAGAAACAGCCTGAAGTCAAATTGGCAGTTTGAGGGTGGGAAAAAGATCTGGGACTTGTTGAGTATTAACCAAAATAGCAAGGAGGCAGCCTTTGTTTAGAGAAGGACTGCACAGTCTAGTATCTGGGAACATTATACAGGATTAGCATCTTGTTGAAGGGGTGTGTTTGCCTCTGCTGTTCCATTACTGGAAGACTCAACCATGATGGCTGTTGTATTTGATTTCCCAAGTGGATAAAACATGCTAGAATGTGGATTTTTGAGCACTGCAGTATCACACTGAAACACATTTCCGGCCTGATTTTTCATTGGAGGCGCAATATATGGTTCTATGACTCTATAAGATCACTAAGTTGATGTGCACTTTTTATTAAGAATTGTAAGAGGGAACAAAGAAGCGTAATGTGTGAGAGATAACATATATGCAAATAAAAATGTAGTCTTCAGTTTTAATTGATGATCTGGTCAGCAGGCAAATTATTAATTAAGTAAAATTCTGTAAATAGTTGTCAGCCTAGGTTGCCCAGCTGTTGACAGAAAGCAGTGTTATTTTGTAATTATTACAAAATAACACTGAGCCGGGATCATTCTACCAAGCAGGTTTCCTTTCTAGATATCACTGAGCAACTACAGAAGGGATGCATACATACCAGATTATATCATCAACTCATTGTTGATAATATAGTTCATGTTGATGATATCTGTTCAGAACATACAAGAAAATCTATTGTTTACAACAAAATTCTCAGACACAACAGCATCTGCTCTGATCTTGAATACAGAGATTTGAAATTCATGCATTTACAGCAGGAATTACTTAAATCCTAAAACTATAGTATTTTTCAGTGAAGCTAAAAAAGCAATTGACAGAGCAAGTCGAGCACATTGGAGGAAAAAACCCAGAGCGGAAGAGAAAAAAGGATGGGCTAATTCACATTGACCTTTACCTTATCTAATCATTGAAAAATACTTCAAATTCACCATGCAAATTCCATAGTAAATTGTGAAGTATTGTCTAATTTAGTCGCTCACTTAGCCCAACTCCCATCACCATACAGAACTCACCTGTGATGGATTACTTCCTCAAAATGCATATCCTGAAAAGTTATTTGTGTCTACCTGTTAATAGAATACAGTATTGATGTTATCAACACCTTGAATATTCACTACCTGTGTTAAAAACACCACCGTCACCTTGGACATTTATTACCAGGAGTTAATACGCAAGTATTACTTTTTGTTTCCCAGTTGTTCTTGGTCCTGCTCCTATCCCTACACTGTGTACATTGTATAAAAGTCTGTCGCCCAGATATTGTGCTTCATGTGTCTGAAGAGATGGGTTGTGATCCATGAAAGCTCACACTGAAATAAATGTGTTTGCATTTGAAGGTGCCACAATTTTTTTCATTGTTTTTGCTGAGACAGATTAAATGCTTACTCCTCTGGAAAATGCTGTATTGTAGGACATATCTAGGGGAACAGGAGCCAGCAATACGTTTTATTTGCTACTAAGCTGTTGGCTTCCCCCTCTCCCCCAATTATTAATGCTTGAAAGTTTGACATTTGAAAAGGCCTGTTCTCAGGTATTTCTGGAAGTCAAAAGCCAAGTCATGTTCTAATCACAGAAGGTATTATTCTCCATGGATCAAGGAGCATCAGAGTCACTGAGGTACAGAAAGAAAACTGTGTGTTCTCAGGTGATGGCCGTGATACTCAATCCAGTTAGGGTAGCCCGCTAGAGGTTCCAGAATGGAGTCTCTTTGTCCCTGCCTCAGGTGAAGAGGTTCACTGAACAAACCCAGGGTGAGGCAAGTAGAAAACCTCCTCTGTGTGGGCTCATTCCTTTCGAGTTGTGCATTTGTGAGGGCTTTTTGTTCTGTGGAGCACAGAATGGTGTCTTATTGCACATTATGGATGTCTCTACATTCTGTATCTTACTATGTTGTTTTAATAAGGTGGATTGTAGTTTACAGCCTAATCATAAGTCAGAACCACCTTGCTTGATCAGGCCATAGCCTAATCCCACATCCTGTTTCAAGCAATGCCCGATTAGTACAGTGCTGAATTTGGCCCAGTTGCTTACCTTGTCATCTTGGGTTACCGCACATAAATATGCAGGGTGCAAAAATGACTTAGTTGGTCAGAAAACACAACAATGATGATAATGATTGATGTTGAAGGGGAGAGCTTCCTCAGCATAGTGATGCTTCATATAGGTTAGTTTGAATCTTAGTTTGGGCTTCCGAAGCACATACTGTACATGTTGGTTTTTTATTCAGCTGAACAATTATGCTGTGTTTTGATATTTTGTGTTAATAAGTATCTGGGAGTAAGGAAACAAATCCAGCACCATCCAGACAGATACCTCTGGAAGCTCACAAACAGGTTGTGAAATCATCCCACCCACCCTCAGTTCACCCCATCATCATGCTATACAGGGAATTCTGCTTGCCATTACCAAGTGGAAAATTCAATGGTAACAGATTCTGCAGTCTAAACATGCAAGGTGAGAAGAACGTCCTCCAACCGTTGCTCTTTCTTCAGGAAAAGGTGAGCAGAGCACATTAAGCCATGATTTAGGTCCCCTCCCCTTCATTCCAATTCCCCATTTGTAGGAGTGTGGAGGAGCATTTTGAAATGCAAGTAGCCCATGCTGTTAAAATACCAGCTGAGTCCTGAAATGATCGTCTAATAGTGGTATTGAGACAGTATGGGGTGGGGTGAAAATAATAACGCTACAAGTATAGGTTCCTATCCTATTTCTTCACACAAAAAGGCTTCTTATTTTCTGTTCCTTATAATTTGACTTCTGTAATTCCTACATGCGAGCTTTAAAGCAGAGATGTGTCACCATTGAAGACTGGAAAACTGAGTCTGATTTGGGGTGGGGTTGGGGGGCTTCAAACAACATGCATCCATGTGCATCATATACCTTTATTCATTTGTCTGTTGACAGCCATACACACTACAACACCCCCAGAAAAGCAGGAACACTCTTCCTCCAAATTATCTCTCTCTGTAAATTTCAATCTTAGCACTGAGGACTGGAAAGTTGAAACTTGATGGGACATGCTGATACTCTCCAGATGCTGAGGAAAGAGTCAGAAAGCACTGAACATTGGACAGTGCACACCACTGTATGCTTGGCATGGACAAGTTAGTAGAAAGTAAGGAGGTAGATATATGATGGTTTGAATGGATGTATGAAATCTGTGCATTGGAAATGAAAAATAATATGTGTTAAGCAAATTGGAAAATGACATTCACAACAGTGGGGAAAGGTGATGAGTAACTTGTCAAGTTATGCTGAATGTGACTGAGTATGAATTGGGTTCTGTCCAATTCATTATATGTGTTTTCTGCTCTACATTATGTATGAATTAATTAACCTGAAACAAAAAAAAACAAAAACAAAATGGGTTTCATGATTTCAGTTCTCTTTGGCTCCTTGGCAGGAAAGGGGTTAACTACCAGGCACCAGACTTCAAGAGAAAGGAACTCTGCTGCCATTCTCTCTGAATGCAAGGAGAGTGTGCAACGGGAACAGTCTTTATGCTAGCAATCTGCCCCCATATCTATCTGCTCCCATAACCAACCTTAAAGCAGCCACAAGTCTAACAATGTAATTGTGCATGAATTTGCAAATACAGTAGGTCTTTTCTGTGTTTAATATTGTGGAGTAATCCTGCCTGTCTTTGTGCGAACAGAATATATGGAGAACAAGGAACAGCCACATCCACAGAGTTCAGGTAAGAAAAGTGATACTGTGCTTCAGTTGAGTTTTGCAATGGCTGCATTAGTGCGTGTGTTTTAATTGTTTCCATCTTTTATGTCTTATGCTAATCCATTATGTACTATCTATTTTCCTGGGAGATGAAAGATCAAATGTCAATGTTTTTGGAAACCTTGAGATGGAGGATTGATATTTGTTATACTTACATACAGTACCTATTCGTTGCAGGCTGAGAATTAAAAGTCTGGAGAGAATCAGAATTATGAGCCAACACTTTGTTTCTTTTACACAGAAATCTGGCGGCAAATCTTCTTATAAGAGGTAATGAGATAAACATGATCCATAAAAGGGAAGTGCAGTGATGAAATAATGAATAAGGCTCCAGTCCAGCACCCTTGCACCTTGCCTGGAGGTAGGGTTCAGTGGGACATATCTCTGAGTAGATATGTGTGGGATTGTATTACTAAATTAATAAAGTACATCTAACCCTGCAGTAAATAAAAGCCGAAATGAAAAGTGACGGCTGATGTCAAAACCATTACTGAATAACTTAATGTAATAATTTCACATGATTATAATTATATAAGTTAAAAAGTGGTGACCGATCATAACCATCTGCTGCACATACTATTTATTCAGCAGAATAAATACTATAGAGGTAGAATATAATTATATATGACATTATGCTTGTAACAGCCCAAATAAGACACAAGCAAAAGTATTGTGGCATTTTTAAGACTAATGTACAGTACAGTATAATTTATTTCAGTATGAGCTTTTGTAGATAACAATGGATTTCCACAAAATCAATCTGCAAATCACAAAAGCTCGCAGAAATAAAATTATTGGTTTTAAAAGTGCCACAAGACTTCTCTTTGTGTCTGTTTTGCTGTTGGAGCGGCCTAATATGGCTATCTTTGTGACAACTGATCATTACTGTGTGGATTTTTTCAGTCCTATTGACTAAATTAGACTAAACATAACAAATATAAAGCCACTTGGCTTTACATAACAAATACACAGCCACTAGACACTGTTCCAAGTTCTCTATTCAGAACATGTTACCATAGTCTCTTGAGACTGAAGGATGCCTAATCTACCTAGAAGCCACTTGGCTACTGAATGGAAAAGTTCCTGTTCCTTTTAAGAAGCAAGTGTTGTCTGTATTGTTGTAACTTTTTATTTACCACTCCAAACTTATGCCATATGAATCTTTTTGGACACATGGAAAACTGTGCCCTTATGGTCGTCTCTTTCCATTGTTCAAAGATGATAGTTGTAGATAGGTTGTCACCATATCTTTTGAAATCTAACTTGTGATCAAAAAGACCTATCTGACTACCCTGTTCCCCTGAAAATAAGACCTGACCTGAAAATAAGCCCTATTATGACTTTTCAGGATGGTCGTAATATAAGCCCTATTCCAAAAATAAGCCCCAATTAAGTGAAACCCCACCCTCCACCATCATGCAGCAACCAGAAGTTGACATGACTGTACAGTGGTGACTCGACTTACGAACGCCCCTACCTATGAACATTTAGACTTACGAGCAGCTCCGCTCACAAAATTTTGCTTTGACTTGTGAGTGGAGCTTCAACGTACGAACAGAAAAAGGCAGGGGGGAAAGGCGGGAAATTCAAAGGTGGCGACGAGGCTGCTTCTTTGTAGCTCTTTCGCCCCAATAGATAGAGCAGGGGGTCAGGGAACTTTTTTACTCCTGGGGTGCAGGAGGAGAAGGAGAGGCGGGGGCAGCTCTGGATCGCTGCCGGGTGCAGGAAGCCAGTGCGCTACCTGTCCATCCCTGGTGTGGGTCTACTCATGAGTAAGGCCCACCAAAGACCTGCAGCGGTGGCACAGGAGTAAGGAGAAGCAGGGCGGCTTCAGTTTGCTGCTGGGCACAGGAAGCTTTGTGTGTGCTTTAAAAATTTTTGGCATTGTTTTTGAAGTGCTGGAATGGATTAATCCTGTTGCCATGCATTTCAATGGGAAATGGTGCTTTGACTTACAAAAATTTTGAGTTACAGCCACCAATACGGAACGGATTAATTTCATAAGTCGAGGCACCACTGTATTTGAAAAAATATAGATTGTTGTACATGAAAAAAATAAAGCATCCCCTGAAAATAAGCCCTAATGCATTTTTGGAGCAAAAATTAATATAAGACCTGTCTTATTTTCGGGGAAACACGGTAGTAGAGGACAATATACATATGTAGGGTACTCCACAGATATCCAGGAGTGTATTGATACATACATTTAAAGAAAAATTACTAGCAACAACAACAAAGCGACCTAATAAATGCTCAGGAGCATCCACGACTTACAGAAAGTTGAGGGCAGCTGAGGCACAGAATGTTCAGAAATCGGATTAAAAAATTCAAAAAGAAAACAAAAACAAGAAAGGAGGGGGAGATAGACCAGATTGAGACCTTGACAGTGTATCACAGTGGTTTGTGAAGGTAGACACACACCAAACACATTCATAATGTACGAACATGAGATGCCACAGAGTTCTGTGAAAAGTACCACCCTTTCCTGTGCATGTTCTCCTGGAACTAAATCTTATGGTGTGCATTTAAGGTTGCAATTCTAAACTCACATAACTTAGCATAGCCAGGGTTATGTCAATGGAACTAAATCTTATGGTGTGCATTTAAGATTGCAATTCTAAACTCACATACGTAGCTTAGCACAGCCAGGGTTATGTCAAGTAGCAGATGTGTAGGGATAGCTAGGCAATTTAAGTACTATAATTAAATTAAAAGATGCAGTTAAGGATGTTCACAATAAGTAGGACAGTTAAAAATAAATGTGACATTCTACCAATTTAAGAAATAACTGAACTGTTTTGTTTCTACTACAGTGTTGCCTGATAAAATTTGTCTATTTACTGTTTATTTTGCCAGGTCTACTCAGATTAAACATAGTCCACATAAGACCTTGGAGAACAACTTAAAGTGCCCAATAACTGTTTGAAATACAGGAAGGAATCAGTCCTTATGTTCTTCAAAGACTCTTTCATCGTTCCACAAACTCCAGAGATGGGCGTGTGGGGTGACATTGTCCCAGGCAATTGCAAATGCCTTCCTCATTCCAGCACACTCGTATCCAAAATATCTTGAGTATATGCTGTGTGAAGGTTGTGCAGTCCAACAGTGTCATTAACACACCACAGGAGGTGCTCTCTGGTGGACAATGCTTCTGCTTTGGAGAAGAGACTTCTGCCAGTCTCAATCCGCAGATAAATTTCTGCTAATGGCCACGTTGGAGGTCTTTCTGCTTTTGAGCTTGGTGTGGAGAACAGACTCCCTTTGCTCACCCACTACTTTTTTCAAAAACTGTTGGATCCGACGATTCCCAGGCCTTACCATTGATCTGGAACATTCGCAGAGGCGAGGAGCCCACGTCCTCAAGTTATACACAGAACTGACAGCACAACAGTGCAGTCGGACATGTTGCCTCCTGAAAAATGGTAAGGATTTGTTTACTTCCTCTGTAAAGAATGAAAGTAAGTAGTCGTTTCTAAAAACAATATTTTATTTTATTTTTTTACTTTCATCAAGATATGAAATGTATGTGCCAAATCTGTTTTCTTGTGCTCTGTCACCTGCTAGAAGATGGCTGGGGAAAACGTTGCCCTTCATAGGTTGTCGAACGGTAACTCAAGCCAGCCTGGACCAGTTGCTCTACTGGCTAGGACTTTGGAGATTTGAAGTCTAATTCCACAAGCCCTGAAAAAATAGTGGTGCCCCAAACAAAACGTTATAGCTTTGAAACTGGGCCTTGGATCAGCACCTAATGTTGCACAGATATAGCAGAAAGTTTGTTAGTGGTGCCCCAAACAAAACGTTATAGCTATGAAACTGGGCCTCGGATCAGCACCTAATTTTGCACAGATATAGCAGAAAGTTTGCTCTTGCTCTGTACCAAATTTGGGGATGTTTGGGCAAATAACACTGTTCTTACCTCATGCAGAAGCTAGCAACCAGCAATTTACAGCCGATTGAAAAAAAGATGAAATCCATTTATAAGACAAAATTTGCTTACCTGAAAAAGAACACATTCATTTTAGCTGCTTTTTTCATTCACAATAATTGAGCAGTTCATGGCTCTAATTCAGACATTTTAATTAGTGCTTTTACCTAAAACATATGAAATCTGCTGGCTTTTTAATAACTTTGAACATTCTAACCTGACTTATTTGCATAGCATAGCATTCTGAGCAATCAGAATGTGTCTGGAGTCAGCCAGGCAGCTATACAGAGCAGGTGTCAGAAGCCTTTCACTTTTAACCCTGTCATGGTGTTCGGTGTGAAAGAAAGCATTTAACTCCTTCCTGGCCAAACATTTTTAAATCCAGCCTATGAGAATATTTGAAAAGATCCATTCAGGAGCCAGGGACATACTGGAATTCTGATGCAAATGCACCCCCTCTAAAATGTCTGGCAAAAACTCTCTCCTGATTACTGTTCCCTCTTTGCCTCCAGCTGCTTGACCCTGCATCAATTCTTTTCAGCCAGGCTTGAGGCAATTGGCAGGTAGAGGAAAAGTAATCCAAGCGGCATTCTGCAGTTGGCTGGTTTCAGCCTCCTGCCACTGTTCTTGAGTATCTGGACAGATCCACATGATTTTCTAGATATAATCCTCCCTAAACCATTGTCAGATCATAGAACCCATTTGCACCCGCAGACGACATCACAGAAATAATGGCACCTTCAGTGCATGGCATTGCAGTGGCGCAAAAATACGACTCATGGATCCATGTAATTTTTCTGCAGGGTCATCCCCAAACCATTTTCCAATGACCAATAGTGCCCATGGACTACAAGACAGAAATCATGGTTCTCCCAGCACATGGCTTTGCGGTGACTCAGAACACCAAACCAAGGCAGAAATGCTCATGGAACCACATGATTTTTTTCTGGAAGATTATCCCCAAACCACTGTCCACTCATAGGTCCCATTTTGTGCCCATAGATTACAATACAGAATATATGGGTTCCCCAGCACATGGCTTTGCAATGGTGCAAAAATATGGATCCAACATATGGATCCTTGTGGATCTACATTATTTGTAGGCAGGACCATTCCCAAAGACTGCACCACAGGCTTGCGGTGATGCAAAAATATAGATCTGATTCACTATCTTCATGGAGCCACATGATTTTTATGCAGGATCATCCACAAGCCATTGTCCAGTCATAGGACCCATCTCTGCCCGCACACTAAAACACAGAAATAGTGGGTACCTGAGCACATGGCTTTTCAGTGGCACAAAACACCAGTCCAAGGGAGAGATGCCCATGATTCCACATTATTTTTTATGTAGGATTATCCCCAAACCACTCTTCAATCACAGGACCCATTTGTTCCCGGTAGACACCACAGAAATAATGGGTCCTTCAGTGCATAATTGCAGTGATTTAAAAATGTGGATATGGATCCACATGATCATCCCCAAACAACTGAACAGCCATAAGTCCCATTTGTGCCCATAGATTACAACACCGAAATTATGGGTCCCTGAGTGTATGGCTTTGCACGGGTGCAAAAACACCAATCCAAGGTGCAGATGATGATGATGATAATGATGGCAATGACAACAACAACCTTAGAATTGCAGAGCTGGAAGGGACCTTATGGATCATCAAGTCCAGCCTGTCAAGGAGGCACAGTGGGGAATCGAACTCCCTACCTCTGGCTTCGCAGCCAGAGACCTGAACCAAATTGTTATCCAGCAATTCTTGGATCGACATGATTTTTATATAGAAGCATCCCCAAACCAGACCTGAACCAAATTGTTATCCAGCAATTATTGGATCGACATGATTTTTACATAGCAGCATCCCCAAACCACTATCCAATCATAGGGCCCATCTGTGCCCACAGACTACATCACAGAAATCATGGGTCTCCGAGTCTGTGCCCACAGACTACATCACAGAAATCATGGGTCTCTGAGCGCATGGCTTTACAGTGGTGCAAAAACATGGATCCGATGCACAGATTCTCATAGTCACATGATTTTTATATAGGATCATCCCCAAAGCACTGTCCAGTCATAGGCCTATTTGTGCTCATAGATTACAACACATAAATCATTACCCCAGACATATTCTGATTAGTCAGCAGACTACATCACAGAAATCATGGGTCTCTGAGCGCATGGCTTTACAGTGGTGCAAAAACATGGATCCGATGCACAGATTCTCATAGTCACATGATTTTTATATAGGATCATCCCCAAAGCACTGTCCAGTCATAGGCCTATTTGTGCTCATAGATTACAACACATAAATCATTACCCCAGACATATTCTGATTAGTCAGAATGCTATACTATGCAAATAGTTCAGTCATTTAGAATGTTTGCGTTTCCATTATACAGTGGTGCCTTGACTTACGAACTTAATCCGTATTGGAACGGTGGCCGTAAGTCAAAACATTTGTAAGTTAAAGCACTATTTCCCATAGGATTGCATTGAAAAACGATTAATCCGTTCTGGCTGAAGGAAAAAAAACCAAATATAAATAAATAAAAAATAAAACACTGTAAGTAATCCATTCTGGCTGAAGGAAAAAAAAAAACCAAATATAAATAAATAAATAAAAAATAAAACACTCTAAGTCCCACGTTGGGACTGCAAAAATAAAAATCCAAAAATAAACATTGGAGCAAGTCCCATGCTGAGACTGCCAAAACAAACAAACAAACAAACCAAAGCAACACAGAAACGTAATACCCCCCAGCCCAAACCTACCCTCCAAAACCCACCAAGAACAACTTTTTTAAAAGGAAAAAGCAGCACCTTACCAGTCCGAAGCCTCTGTGGAGACTTCCAAAGCACCGGTACCCCGCTGCTTCTCCTTCCTCCTCCTGTGCCGCTGCCACATGCCCCGTCCACGGAGCCCCTCTGACCCATGCCTTTGGCAGTGCTTTCTCATGAGTAGACCCACAACATTGGTGATACTTACTCATGAGTAAGCCCATGTCCCCTCTGACCCATGCCTTTGGCAGTGCTTACTCACGAGTAGACCCACAACATTGGTGATACCTACTCATGAGTAAACCCATGCCAGGGATGGGCAGGGAACACACTGGCTTCCTGCGCCTAACGGATGGGCAGGGAACACACCAGCTTCCTGCGCCCAGCGGCAATTCAGAGCCTCACCGCCTCTCCTTCCTCCTCCTGCGCCCCAGGAGTAAAAGAGTTCCCTAATGGCCTGCTCTAACTGTTGGGGCGAAAGAGCTACAAAGAAGCAGGCTCTTTGCCACCAACTGTTTGTATTTCCCGCCTTTTTCCCCTGCCTTTTCCCGTTCGTAAGCCAATGCTTACGAACTGCAAGTCAAAGCAAAATTTTGCAGCCGGAGTTGTTCATAAGTCAAATTATTCGTAGGTCAGGCCATTTGCGAGTCAAGGCACCACTGTATATGCATCGCATTTGTAAGTCAAGGCACCACTGTATATGCATGGTAGGATAGACTCAGATTACTCATTTTTTGCTTGAGAGTTCAGACTTGACCTGATTGCTGAGCACCCACTTGTTTGCTTTTCTGGCTGTCTTTAGTATCTCAACCAATACATTTCAAATGACTTGATTTTTATCCCTGTCTTTCTTCACCGTCTTCCTTTCACATAATATGCATGATTTTGATCTTGCTTTCCAGTGACGTTCTTTGCTAACTCCAGCCTCTTCCTTTTAAAAAAGAATTCAAAAAAGCAATGGGGCATACAGTGGTGCCTTGACTTACGTACGTCCCCACTTATGACTATTTTGACTACAGTGGTGCCTTGACTTACGTACATCCCCACTTATGACCATTTTGACCTATGACCAGCTCTGGCTGCAAAATTTTGCTTCGACTTGCGGCCGGAGCTTCGAGTTACAACCAAAAAGGCAGGGGGAAAAGGAGGAAATTCAAATGTACTAACCGTTGGTGGCAAAGAGGCTGCTTCTTTGTAAGTGTTTCGCCCCAACGGTTAGGGAAAAGGATGCAGTGGCGAGGGGAGGCAGCGGCAGAGACGTCCCTTGGCATTCCTTGCCGCCCTCCACAGGGCCGATGTCAAAGCTGCTGCTGGGTCCCGGTCCTCGGCGTGGAGGAGGAGGGCCCCCCGATCCCAGCTCCTGGAGGAAGGGGCCTCCCG